TAGGATATCTTATAGTTTTATGCTATAATAATTACATTGCTATTATTTTAAGAAAAAAATGTAGGTATCTACTATCTACCAATAAAAAAAATTCCAAATTAATTAAATTAGATTCATAAGGTATTTACTCAACTCACTCAGTCATTCATAGTAATCCAATATATTATAAAGTATTAATATAAGTCACTGACTATAATGTAATAGACAACTAAAATATAAAGTGTACTCAAGAAATTTTAAGTACCCACGAGTTCCACGAATAATATTTTTAAATAACAACAATATAACTAAAATTGTTATTCTCGATTATTTATTATGTAATTTTTTCTAAATTTGAACTTAAAATAACTATAAAAAACTGTGTTCGTATAGTTTTTAGATTTTTTTTTGCGGCAAAATTAACTACTTACGTGGAACCTTGTTTTAAATTTTCAATCATTAGCTATAAAAGGTTAACGATTATACATTTTTAACAATTAAAGAATTTGTAAATTTTCAATCAAATCAATTTTGTCAAAAATTGAACTTTAAAAGTTTATAAAAAAAACCTGCATATGTATTTCTAATATTTTCCAACTATTATTATATCAACTTATGGGGAACCTTGTAAAAAAATTTCAAGATTTTTGACCAATTTGATAAAATTTTATTGACATTTATAGAATAAAAACTAAAAAATCAGAAAATTTCAAATTTTTATAAGTAACTTAAAAATTGATATAATATTTAGAAAATGTTATCAAGTATAGCAGAGGCGTATTTAGATATATTTTATATTTTTTTTTCTTGGGGGGGGGGCTGTGATATTTTCTCAAACTGAAATTCCCAATTCAGCCTATATGAGTTAGAAAATTTACATCTGATAGGACAATAATACGCAGACTTCATAAACAATTTCTGGATTTCGGGGGGGAGGCCTGAAGCCCCCTCAGCCACCCCCATAAATACGCCCCTGAAGTATAGACATTAATAAAATAAACATATGGTGTGAATTTCCTGTATCACTGCAACAGGAAATGACAAGGCGAAAATAGAAAGACTATTAGAAGAAGCAGCTGAGAAGGTCCTGCAATGGCTAGAAGAAACCGGAATCGAACTGGCGATCCAGAAGTCAGAAGTAATCCTATTCACAAAGAGATGGAAACACAACGAAATAACGATAATGATAAGGGGACACACAATCCAATTCAAAAAAATCGTCAAATACCTTGTCCTGCACTTGGACGGAAAATTGAATTTTATTGAACATGCACGTATGGTGTCCAGGAGAGCGGATGACGTGACCACAATGCTTACGCGAATCATACCGAACACAGGTGTAGCAAAATCACGCAGAAGAAGACTTCTAGCAAGCGTTACGCAGAGCATTATGCTTTATGGCGCACCAGTTTGGGCCAAGCACATGGGATGCAAAGGATGGACCGAAATGGGAAAAAGCAATAGGAAAATCGGCATCAGAGTCATAGCCGCATACAGAACCGTTTCAAAATCGGCTGTGGAAGTACCATCCGGAATGCCACGCCCAGATCTGGTAGCGGAATACAGGAGCAGCATGAAGACAACAGAAGGAAAAGTAGAAGCAGAAGACAAAATGATACATGGCAATCAAGATGGGAACAGGCTGACAACGGAAGGTGGGCTCATAGGCTGATACCAAACATTAAGCGATGGCACAAAAGAACGAGCGGTATGGTAGAGTACCACCTAACACAAGCCCTCACAGGGTATGGATGCTTTTCGGGATACCTACATCGATTCGGTAAGCTACCGTCACCTGAATGTATGTTCTGTGGCTACCGTACAGACGACGCCCACCATACACTTTTCGAATGCGACGCGTGGTACGGAAGAAGAAGAATTATGAACACACTGATTGGCGAGGACATCACGGCGGAAACGATGGTCGGGGTGATGATGGAATCCACCGAAAGGTGGAATGTCGTGGCGGACTTCATCCACCAAGTGATACAGAAAAAGGAGGAAGAGGAGAGGCAGAGGCAGCGAGCACACGTATAACACAAATATCAACGTTTAATTATTATTTATGTTGTACGCTGAAAGCGAAACCTAGGAGATCATAAGTATCGATCATGTATTACAAACGTGTAAGGTCGACAGGAAGGGGGACTGTCCCGGACTGAGGCAAAAATATGATGTGATTTAATTCAATAAACGACGGGGGCTGGGGGGTGAAGTGACCGACGTCAGTGCCACCCCCAGTCCTCGGTTAAAAAATGTAAAAAAAAAAGGTACGCTATATCGTAAAAATTTAAAATTCAAACGCATTTAAAATTTTTCCTATAATGATGCTTCGAGTTTTCTCAATAGCTACTTGAAGGAAAACTTGGTGTTGCATTTTTAATCCTTAGTTATAAACGCAAAAAATGTTATGATTTTTCAACTTCAAATTACTTGCAAATATTCGCGTTTTCGACAGATTTCGTAAAAATTTGAATTATAAACGCTTATAAAAAAAAATTGTGACTAACGATTTTAAATTTTTTTTAGCTACAATWAAAAAACTCATAAGGAACCTTGTATTAAATTTTCATGTTTTTTTGGTTGTTCAACATTTTTTTACCGACATTTCAAAAAAATCGAAAATTTCAGTGGTCTATAAATAACTCAAAAAAGTCGAAAATTTACTAAACTGTATATAGATATCACTAACATATAAACATTTGGTGAAAATGTCAAGTATTTACAGTGATTAGTTTTTGAATTACAACCATATAAAAAAATCGATTTGGTTGAAAACTGGTTTTGCGTAAAAATTCCCGTTTTTATGTCATTTTTTTTTTGATTTTCCCAATTTTTTTTAAAACTATTAGAAAATATTTACTTTTGACCTCTATAATGCACCAAGGATATTCATTTTTACATCGGAAACCACCCCCAAAGTTTGAAATTGAAGCATTATTTCGATTAGTTATGCTGTACACAGACACAAAAAAAAAAAGCACACATCATTGTAAAATCAATACATTCATCACTTCGTTCAGAATCTAAAATTGAATACTATGTACAATCATTTTATACGAAAAACGATTCTGAGCGAAGACGGCCACTATATAATAGAGTAGGTACTCCGAAAAATGATAAAAGTTTCATGTAGCCACCAATACATTTTTTTAAATACAATAAAATTGTAATAAAATCGTTGTAATTTTTTTAGAATTTTGGTTACGGTACTTTATAATTTACAAATTACAAAATAATCTAAACATTTTTTGGATTTTGATGGATTTTGTGAATATTTAAAATTAAAATACTTCGTTAATAAATAACTCAAAATTAATAAAAATATTTAGAAAATGTTAACAAATTTTAAATTGTATTTATGATAAAATAATTATTTGATGAAAATGTAGCTACAAATATAAATATACATAGTTTTTKCATTAAAACAAAATAAAAAAATCATTCCATAAGAATTTGTTAATCAACGGGTGATTATCTAATGTAGAACAATGTCAAATATTAAATGCTTATGAAAAATTTGTTTGATTTTCAGTACACTTTGTATTTTGTTGGATGTAGAAAAACTTTGTGAAAAATGTAGAAAAATTTTTTTGACGAAGCGAACATTTTTTTATCGACTATAATTAAAAAAGGGAGACAAATTAGTGCGGGCACGCTTTGCAGTACAATAGCTGTCGAGTATGTCATTACTCATAATTGTTATGGATGTGTATTAGATTAAGATTCATTGAGACATCATTTTGCATACGAAAATCAATTTTGAGCGGAGTTGGTGTGGTGTTAGGAAGGTTAGCTAGGAAGTTTTGGAATACTTGGATAAATAATTAAATTTAATAATTAAAAGGCACTGAATTTATAAACAACGTAAAATTTTTAAATTAATCTCTCATAACAAATTAACGTTACTTTTTAATTAACTTTATTTTTTGATTAAGGTAGAAAAACTTGTTAGTAATCTTCTATTAAAATGTCTTAATGTTGGCTATAAAAAGAAACTTTGTTACAGATGAAGTGATGACACATACACTCACACATGCATATAGCACATCATAATTATATTTAAATTTGGAAATTTCAGGTATTTACGGTTATTTATTTTGAATTGTCTTTCTTCCTAATTTTTAGATTCTGGGCGGATGAACGGTGAATGTATTGATTTTATAATGATAAGTGTTTTTTTTATTGTATTTGTGTCTTTCAGTGATAATCTAAATTATAATAAGTTTATGTACAAATATGCAACAAAAGAAGTACGGATGCCTGTGTGAAATAATTGTAGTACAAATATTAATGCTCCAAATTCCAATACTTAAATCTTAAGTCAACATCTTACAATGCATGCATCATGCATGTCCTTCATCTGACTTAATTTAAAAAAATTGTATTTTAATTACGACTATAAATGGTTTATAATCTATACACAATTCATGTTAAGAAAACGGAAGTAATTAATCATTATTTTATTGAATAATTTTACTGATTGGTGTATTTGTGACAATTGATAATATATGAAACGATAATAATATATTTAATTATTTATAATAAGTTTATAACACACAATACAAAAATGATGAAAAATATTAAGTTATGATTAATGGCTTGTGGTATAACACTTATGATAATATAGGTACTTTAATATACCTATATATTAATTTGAAATCATTCTTATCATAAAATAAAATGTTATAATTAAGTTATAACATTAATATAAGTAGGTACCTATAAAAAGTATTTTATACTACAATATACTCGTTCTAAAAAGGATTTTTTATAAGTTAAAAATAAAATATAACCTGTATAAGTGTATACCTATGTCCCAATAATTATCTATTTATGGAGAAATTCAAAAAAGTCACAAAAATATAATTTTTTGGCACCTATATATGTAATTATGTATAATTGATTTACTATAACGATGTTTCCCCTTAATTCTAAAGCTTCTAATATTTACCTATAAATTTCGATCTTAATAAATAAATAAAATCTAAATAAATTTAAATAGTTGTATAGATGTTTACTTATTTGGGTCAATATTTTCCATTTCTTGAACTTTCTGACTAATTATGGAGGCAGGTTCAAAATTTTTTGCCATTTTATGTAATAATGCTGTGGTTGAACTAGTTTTAAATAATCCCAATGCTCTTCGCCTCAATCCTTGAGATAGACATGCTTCAACAGCAGCTACAATCATATAATATGCATTGTTAATAAAAACGTATTTGTTATATATTTTTAATTATATAGCCCATAGATTCTGCAGCTAAATTACTGGAAATGCATAGCTTAACAATTACTTTCTTCCTATATAATAATATAGATAATCAATTGTAAGCTAATAACCACGATGTTGATGCTGGACCAATAACAAAAAATAATAATAATATATATATCAACAACATTTAACAAACCATAATATTTACGTTATCTAGACGCAGAATTGCTGAATCGCATAATATTATGTAAAATTACTAATTAGAAGTATTACGATATGAATAGAATATTATCTATAAGTTATTATGATTAATGATGACCTGGCAGACCTGCAGTATACTATAAATAACTATAGTTATATATATATATAACATTTTGCTTTATAATCGAAATGTGTATAATGTCATCCCTAAGACTTGATTACACAATACGAGTTACTCATCCGACAGTAAACAGCTACTGCACCTGTGTACTTGCATGGCAGTAATAGCTCAACTCGCCTCGCCCGGTCACACAAATGCGAGCTACTGTTTGTGGTGTATGTGGTGGAGCAGGGGGGGGGATAATCAATCAGATGAGTTTAAACAAAAAATGTTATAGTGTTGCACAGCTGCTATAACTGTCTAGGTTAACTCGGTTACTTAGCTCGCATTGTGTAACCAACGCTATACTGCTGAGAAAAAGAATTAAATGGAAATGGAGAACTATTTACTTTGTATTACTAAATCGTTGCACTAATGTAAAACTAGGTTTGAACTATAAACATTATTCTATTAATTCATCTCTACAAAGAATAGGTATATAGTTTTATATTATAGCTGTAATTTTGAGTATAGATAAAGTTAACTAATTAAAACTTTTTAAGCTGAATTACACTTATTTCATAAGTTTATATAATATAAACCGTAGATTGAAGATGTGTCATACGTGCATATTTCTTAATTATCTTAAAATCTATCGTATATGTATAATATTGTTTATCAATAATAATTAGTATTTTATAATCTAAATATAAATTCAAATTTATAGAAAAAATGTATCTAGAAAATATTAATCTAAAATATATAGTTACTAAAAATATAAATAACTTAATACACCAACCCGTCATATAATTCTTATTTAATTTTTTTATAATAAAAATAAGTAAAATTTATTATAAATACAATACCACAAAGAGATGTAATTGAGCCACTTTCTTCATGTACAAACTTCCTAGTTACAGCTTCTTCCATTATTTGTTTCACCTGTTGTATATTAAATAATAAAAATATACAGTAATTAAATATTACTAATTCATATTGTATTGTATCTTATAAAAAAAACACATCTTATATAACTACATATATATAAGAAATATATAACTGTTTTTGTTTATAATACATTTATTYAAATATTTTATGTTATGGCGGAAATAAAGCTTTATAGGTACATTAGTTTTTAGGCTTACATATATTACAAAATATTCTTGGCGTGAAAGGAATATTTTCAAAAACAATAATCAACAATTTCGCATTAAATCTGTTTCCAATTTTATTGATATTATAACTATATTAATTACGATCAAAATATAATGAATTATTGTTTTAATAGATAAGCATACAACGGTTTTAAGAAGTCAGGAGAACGATCGAATAGCATTTGTTAAAATAATAAAATGCCCAATAGGTATAAGGTACTCCGTGCCATTAAGGAAATATCATTTTAAACGGAGAAGTAACAGGAACAATATTTTAAGTCAGTTGATGAAAATAAACGGTATATAATACCTTTTGTAATCAATGAAAATGTTATTAAAATGTTTAATTGGTAAACGTTAATTTCAATTTATTCCTTAAAGTACAACATATAACTTATATGTAAATGTAAATAATAAATATTATATTAGAAGTTCTACCGTAGAACATTTTTAAACTATTGTTTAATAATAAAAAAACAAACTATTTGTCAAATTTATAGCACATGGACAAGGATTTGATACACTCGTATGATCTGAGCGGCTGCACCGATCAGATTTGTATCGTATAATTTTAAATTTATTTTTTGTCACTTCAATCCTGACTCCTAAGTATTCTTTCGACATTATCAAACATTATTTCCGGTTTAAACACATCATTACGATCAATATCCTATCACACCATGATAAAAAATATGATTTAAAAAAAATTGTCATTAAAGAGTGAATGAAATGATTCACAAGTATTAATCTGAGACTTGAAGAATTGCATGCCCAAAGTTTAAAAGAAAAAGTACTATAATATCTATACTTAAATATAATTTTCATTTAAATAATCACAGTATTTTGTTAGCCTACCATCAATTAAACAATCGTCCATTAAATTCTCGACAAAACAGTCAGAACCTTCTTCATCTTCCAAAAATWTTAAATCAAATGTAGTTATAGCTATAGTATAATATAGTATTAGTATAGTACATATACATCTAACCACTAATGCACTAACCAATATAATATATATTACCAAGCAATATACATTTAGATTTTAAAATCAATAAATGTTGTCTTGCTCTCTTATATATATTTAAATTTGATTTTATATATTATCAAGTATGAATTGAAATTAATGCTTACCAACTAAAATCTTACCTAAACATTTTCCATTAAAAAAAAAAATACATTGGTAGATACATAACCAAATGTTTTTCTTGTTTACAACGAATAATATTACTTCTCGCGAACGTCAAAAAAGACGATATCCGTTTAGGTCCATTTAACCTTTTTTGTGACGCATTTGAGTACAAATTTACAACTCAATTGCGCACATGAATTTTTAATACCAGTGATAAATGACCCAAAACGTAGGACTCGTTTGTGTTCATAATTTCATATACTATAGCAAAAATATGCTAAAACCCATAAGTACTACAAAAATAATGTTTAAGAATGTATTTCTCACTTTTACAAGCTTAGAACTGGTCTGTATACAACAGACATGATTAAAAATATTTTAATTTTTTTGCTAACTTAATTTAAATTATATTTTTTATGTTTATATTTACTATTTTATTAATTTTAATGTAATGCTGTTTTTTGTCATTAATCAAATTAATTTATTGCTTTAATATTTTGTGCCGATTTGTTTCAAATATTCCAATCGATTTATAGATTTGTTATATTATTGTCTCAAACATTTGTGTCCAAAAACTTTGAGATTACGTGTATTTTATCGAAATTTGCATTACAACTTACAAGTTATAACATAATAAGTCTAATCTAATAGTATATAAATAGTTATAGTTGTACGCAAACGAGTTGTCTGTTTCCAGGTAAAAATAGTGCACCTACTGGCTACTGTGCTCAAACGAGTATCACCGCGTCAAAAGGTCGATTTTGGGCAAAAAAGAAGTCCACGGTGACAATCTTTCATGATACAGTTAAGAGGACACCACACCCGCATGTGTTGTCTCCGTCTTACAAACGTATTATAACATAGTAAAATCTGTTTAGCGCGGGACAACTTTTCTCCCTCAATATTTATAATAGAACTTTCAAAATTTCACAACGCATAGGTAAGAACTTTATCTGTGTCATAGCGTCGTTATTYTTTTGATAGCACAAACCAATAATTTTAAGTAATTTAATGAAAAAATAAATGTATTTTCTTAAGCTTATAACTTTAATTAAATTTATTTATTAAAATAACGACGCTACGACACAGATAAAGTTCTTACCTATGCGTTGTGGAATTTTGGTAATTCTATTATAAATACAAAGGGAGTAAAGTTGTCCCGCGCTAAACAGATTTTGCTATGTTATACGTTTGTAAGACTACGGAGACAACACATGCGGGTGTGGCGTCCTCTTAAGTAATTGTCAAGAAGAACACGTATCCATCAATACAACATAGGTTATTAGAATTAATATATTCGTCGTAAGTGGTATAAACTTTTTTGAAATATATCTTAAAATTAGTCTAAATACTATGAAAGAAAATATTCATAAACATACGTTAATACGCTAGGTTAAGGTAATTAATATTTTTGTACTCAACATACTATCGTTTAAATATCCATTTTAGAATTGAGTGGAGCAACTAATAATTAATAATATCTATATATGTAGGTTTAATCGCATATTAAAATATGTCATTATATATTTAGTGTATGAAATACAATGATACAATATATATAAATTCATATAATATACGTTAAAAGTTTTAAGTACCCACGAGTAATATTTTGAATTTCAATAAAAAAACTAAAATCATTATTCATTTTAAATTTATATAATTATATCCAGATTCCAGATACAGGTTTTTCGTTTTTTGGTAAAGTGTCTATAATTATAAAAGACAATACTACCTACCTACTTATATTGTGTGGCTTGTGCGTTGTGCTACACACGTCACGCGCGGCTGGAAGTGCCTAACCTCACGCACGAGCCACACACATACCTACTACTTTTTGTCATGTCTTTGAGTTCATCGATCACGGCAAAGGTAATGTAAGAATATATGCAATAACTTCCAAAAAAACAATATCATGAAAGAAAAATATTAATAATATAAGATGTAACCAAAAGCTTATTTTTTGTAAAAACCGTAGTGGAGATTTCAATGTCTGGTTGTKCAGGGAATACGCATGGCACTTATAAGGGTTTTCAGTTTACCATTACCGCCAAGCACTTTTGGGGATTTCAATTTTAGTATTTTACCCGGCACTATGGGGATTTCCATTTTATCATCAGCTAGATAAGGTCACTTTCCAACGCTTCAACCATCGTCGAAAACTAAACATTTGGTGCAAGCGTTATTAGAAATTCCATGTATCTAACTATCAGATTATCATTTTATATTGCAGTGTTATGCATTTTATCTTCATCAATTCATGATTAAACTCGTTTAGTTATCTTCGCAAAAAAGAGCTTATGCAATACACTGAAGGACTCTTTTAGTTTCAGATATTAATAGCATAGATTATCATTGGCGCAAATAGGAGGGGGCTTGGAGGGATCTAGTCCCCCCATATTTTTGCCAAGTCCCCCTCGTTTAAAAGTCAGTAATTAGTACTGAGAATATATCATTTTTAGAAAATATTATAGTAGGGGCTTTAGTCCCCCCAAAATAATTTGTCTATTTGCGCCTATGCAGATTATATTATATTATATATTCTGGAATAATATACACAAAAAAGTATTTAAAAAATTTAAAATACACTTTAAAAAAATATTTGAGAAGTATTTGTGTGCTAAACATGATTATCTGTTAAAAGTTTAAAAAAAATACGAGTAGGTTTAATAAACATAAGCCCGAAGATTACAACAGTGTAACCCATATATTGAATTAAAGCTACACAACATTTTTGGATTATATTAGCATTGACATTATATTGACATTAGCATTGACGTTCAAAATAAATATAAAATTATGGTAAAAGATGTACATTAATTTATTTATCTTATGTGGCCTTACTGATTTGAGGTATAGGTTCATGTTATCAGTAAATCCAAGAAGTTTACCATATTCTAGTTTTATATAATCTGTGTTAATAGTATGTCGTTCGCATATAGGTATGCAATCAGTTTGATTCATTGATGTCTTGGATTATTGAAGTTTAACTCCTACTCAATGTTTACTACCTTTTAAAAATTTTAATCACTTCCTCAGATGCAATTCCTATTTAAGAGTATTGGAGAGAGGACATTTCCCCGTTTCAATCCTGTATTAACCATACTTCGACATCTGGTCGTTGAATTTTTACCATACATTTGTGATTTTGAACACGTGTTTTAATCATTCTCATGAAATTTTTGGGTACCCCAAGATTTTCTGTAGCTTTCCTCCGCATAGACATTCTGGATTAATAGAATATTACACCTGTTTATAGCATACAAATATGAAATAACATGAATGATTTCTGATCGCAGTAATCGTAGCATTTCCCCATAATTTGTTTGACATTATGTATTTAATCCACCATAGATTTTCCCTTCCTAAAACCTCTCTCTCCAACTATTAATTCTCCATGTGGCTTGAGTTTATTAAAATTAACGTTTGTTAATACCTTAGAAAAATATAATTTTTTTATTATTTATGCTTCTAGTAGCAAGTTGTTTATATGATTGTTGCAGATTATGATATTTCCTTTTTGTAAATAGAGSACATAATTGACAGATTCGAAGCTTTAAGTATTTTTTTTCTCTTTAYGTACTTTTAATAATTTGTTCTAACTGTTTAGTCTTTCTTTCCAACCACTTTCTCACCCTTTTTAAAAATCTCTAGTTATCTTGTGATATCTTTTCCGTGTGTTTCACCATTTCTTTTTAAACATTTTAATAGGTAAAATAATTTCTTCCGTAGTTGGTTTCTTTATTAGAAGTTCTACAGACTTTTCTTGTCCTATTTAAATAGAATAGTCTCTCTCAAACATGCATCTACACTTATCAGTTATTTTGCATTTGCTTGTATAATCAGTGTCGTCCGATTCTTTCAAGATAATCGTTTTTATTAACATCTGTTTTTCATATCAATCTGTTTCTGATTTGAAACCTATTGATGCTTTTTAAAATTAGATACAGATTATAGCGCCATATGATTGTGGGCAATAACTAGAATAGATAAGCAAGACCTAGTGAGATTTCAGGGAAAGGTGCTACGGAAAATTCTTGGCCTCAGTAGAAACCAAAATACAGAAGAGTGCGAGCGAAGAAAGAAGAATTATGTTAGAGGATTCGGACATAGTAGCTACAGTGAAAAGCAAAAGGATAAACTGGGAAGAACGCGTACCCATACGGCGGGACGGAGAACAGATAATCGGTCAAGTCACCAAATGGATACCGAAGAAAACAGTCAACTGGGTCGTCCAAGAAAACGATAGATGAACAGAGCATTGAGTTCATAAATACATTACAATGATGGGAGAATTTAATGTTGAAGAAATATCTACAGAAAGTTTCAGGTGGAGAAGTATGGTAGTTGCATCGAAGAATCTGAAATGTCTATTTTAAGCCAAATGAAAAAGAAATCCAATATCTACAAAATAAAATTCCAAAAATATCGAACACAGAAACTTAATAAATGCTTAAACTTACTTCTTTTACAATATAGATTCGGATTTCACGATAAATTCCGTCCATGAAGACACACACTTAATCCCTCMGTGTAAAAAATGTAGAACTCCATATGTTCCTGGTAATCTTACAAGACATATTAAACATAAATGGAGGCCTAAATTTCTAGATATATGACATTAAAATTAATAATCTCTCTCTCACAAAAAAAAAAAAAATCCAAATGTACTCATTTTATCAAAACAATAAGGTGTACCATAAATAGTCCATAGTCCATCTATTAACTACATCCGTCAGACGATAGATGTAAACATATACAAAAACGATTATTATAATCAAATTCATTTATTCTTCTCACGAATAGATTGCGAATAAAAATAATAAAAATTGATATACATTTAAATGTAAAATAATTACATCAATTTTTTAATTTTAATTATTAAAGATTTAATTTGTATCATCTATTAATCTATATTCAAGGTATTTACAGTAACTTGTTATTTTATAAAAAATATTTGATACCCTTTTATACAATTCAACTAATTTTTAACTGCAATTTTTGTTTATGTTGATAAAATAACGCCATTTCTATGCAGTTTTGCCTCCCCCAAAAAAATATCGATTGGTAGTTCTACGCCTCATGCACGAAAGAAAATAACAGTACAAGCTTCAGAAATAATAAAACAGAGCCTGTCAAACGTCAAGCCTGATTCCATTCATCTGAAACAACTGAGCAACGAGATGCAAGATTGAAAACCACGATATGAAATATATGAGTAATGAGTATACATCTACAAAATGATTTCGTTAAAAAATTGCTGGAAATGAGGAATGGTAAACTATAGCTATCAATGAATCAACACATACACAATGTATAACATTCCCAACTAATTTCTATAAAATAACAGCAATAACCAATGAGTTGATTGACAAAGTATTCCCAAATTTTCCACAAAATTACGGAAATCGTMAGTGGCTCATTGCACGAGCTATATTGGTGTAAATACTTACAATCAATAACACCATTCTAAACGAAATTCCAGGGAACGCGATAACGTATCAGTCCATCGCAATACCGTAATAAATCAAGATGAAGTTGTTAATTATTCAACTGAATTCTTAAATTCACTTGATTCGTAAGATGTGAACCACGTGCGGTGGCATACGTTCTAACATTGAAATTTGACGTGACCGTCATTCTTTTACGAAACATCAATCCTTCACGACTATGCAACGGTACCAGGCTTTCAGTGAAAAAGTTGATTAGCAACATTATCGAAGCTAAAATTTTAAAGACGAAGATAAACTGTTTCCACCATTCCAATGATTCAAACTGATATGCCTTTTGAATTCAAGCTTTGCAGTTTCCAGCGTGACGCGTGACTCACCTTTACAATGACCATTAACAAAGCACAAGGACAATATGGCTATAAGTGTATGGACTGAATTTGAAAAATCCATGCTTCTCATATGGACAGCTGTATTTGGTATACTCACGCGTCGGAAAAGAAGAACAAAAAATATTGTGTATCCAAATATCATTCGATTGAATACTTGTTTTGTCAGACTTTTCTTAACACGCAGTTTGAGCCATTTAATAGGTAGGCTTTTTAACGGGCTACGAAGTGCACGGGTTCAACTAGTATTATAATGTATATAATGTAATATGATACATGATACCATAAATGTAGTTATTTGTTTAAATAAAAACAAAAATTAATTCTATGTCAAATTTAATATTTTATTACGTATAAATATATATTTATATGACAGTTAAATTTTTAAACTGAGAGTCTACAAGTAGAATGTGAACTATAGTCTATAATATGGCATATTTTAAACTCTCATTTAAGCCTAAGTAAGAAGTCAAATGATTTTTAGTTTTCACTATTATGTAAGTATACTAACCAGTATAATGCATACATATTTATTGTAAAACAACTTTATTTTCCAGTAACTTTATCTTCATAAAAAGTGTCCAAAATAAAAATGTTTAAAAGTTGACATGTTTTTCTTATTTTTAAACTGGCAACTATCGTATCTCAGAGAAACTTTGCTCATTACATGCTAATATTGTTAGGTATACGATATCGCAACTGCGCAAGAACTGATAAAGTGACAAGCAAATTATAATAATTGTGATTATATTATTTGGGACATTATAACTTATAATATATACGGGCGCCCGGGCGGGCGGCGGTATCGGCATACTGTTGCGCACAAAAAACCGAAGTAAACACAAATAACCTGCACTCATTAATACTTTTAACCATTACAGGAATTGTTAACAATATTAATTTTGCGAGAATAAAAAGTTGAACTTTAGGACGCTATTACGTGAATTCACTAGGTAGGAGCTTTAAAACCAAAATATCTATACACAAATACAACTATATATACATACATTTTATGTGACTTGAATTTATAATTATATATATTATGTAACTTCAATAAAATAACGAGAATTTCATATATATCTATACGTACCTCTTTCTTCACATTTTTGATGAGTTGCTCCTTGAACTTTTTACCTAAAAAAAAAATAACAGAAAAAAAGCTATACTCCCATATGTTGGTAAACGCACAAAATATACTTGGTTCAAGGTGTTTAAAAAATATGAATTCGTGCGTCCGTAAATCGGTTTAGTATATTAAATAATGTTTTATACACTCGTACTGAGTATAAGTATCATTATCCATTTCGGATTTCCACACTTTTCAAACCCCTTGTAAAGTACTTAATAGTTAATATTATAGTAGTTTAATAATTAATAATTATTATGATGGGCATATTTTGTTCGACACCACTCGGTCCCAACGTTGCCGCAATTGAACACGAGCGGTAGTCGAAAAAGATTTTCCCATATGTCACGGTGTAAGACGTACTAGTGTTGTTCGATTCCATCGTCGTGACCGCGGATCGATGAACAAAAAGGGATGAGTTTATGGCATTCAACAAGTGACGGTGGTGAAGATTTTGGACACGTACCAATAAATTAGGCTTCAATAATTAATACCTCGGCGGCCGTGCAATACTTATTTAATATTTGTTAACTATAACAATATCGACGCGACGACCGTTCGAAAAACGTTGGCGTCAATAGAGGGTGGAACTGTGGTAAAAAGTCGTAAAGGGTGTACTACAAGAACAAACACTCCCGCAACCTACCGCCGCGCGCAAGACGTGTCGAACAACCGCGGCAGCAACGACGGGCGGACTGACTGATTGACCGATGGACAGGCAGAAAGATTGGTCGTAAGAATAGTCGACACTACAGAATATGGAAACACCGCGATCGACGAGGGCGGACTGGCGGACGGCCGATGGAGGACCGCCCACCGACCGGAGTCGAAGTAGAAGTGGACTACGAAGTACGAATTACGATATTGGGCGAGTGTGAGCGATGTCATTGCGACAGCAACGCTACCGGCGGAATAACTCTCATCACTGTGGCAGTGTGCCGTAAAACCGTTCTTAACATCATCCTCCAGTTATATTAAACTGGTAACTGGTAACGTTAACGGCGCCAAAATTTAATGCCCAAATCTCCATAGATATTAATGAATGGATAGGCCATTAATTAATAATTATGATTATCATGCGCGAACGAACATGAAAATATAGGTCTTATACAATCACAGAACAATAATATTAATGTATAATTATCTAATTATTGTACATAATTGATGATAAGACCTCTCATTCTCTCAACCTCTGTCAGAACTCAGAATGTGAGGCAATGATAAAAATCAATCTTTCTCTCTTCCACATTCCAGGCTTCCAGCGTTCCAGCACACTTCCCTCTATTTTATTGATGTAGCCATGGCCTATCCATTCTTTAATATCTATTTAAATCTCCAGCACTTGTCAGTCGGCATTTATCAAACTGAATGTCGCTATTGTGACTATGTCACTACTCGCTATGCCAGTGAGTCTGTTGTTGTACTCAGTATGTCGTAGAGTTGTTATTATTACTCTGAGGTTGTTATATGTCGTTCTGAGATTGAAATATATATCTATGTGTTATGTTATTAAAATAAGGTATCTCACGGTCGCCAAGGATGAGCGAATCCAATAAAACACGACCCGGCGATTGGTTACATTTTGTGGTGTAGACGTGTAGTGACTTAGATTGTTGTAATGAAGGCTTAAATCATATACCATAGACTATATGAAACATAAAAATACCCTTTGGCATATACATACTACATAGATCGGGCCATGACCACGACTAGCCACTAATGGCCGGTTTCACCATGTAGGACAGTGGTCGGGAATAAGCTGCGGCTCTTTAACATGCAATCTGCGGCTCTTTGGATAATTATCAATATAGATATATCCGTAAAATATAAATTATATTATACTTTATTATAACGATTTATTTTAAGACGTATTATTATGTTTTTATTGCCTACTAAAAAAAAAAGGTTGATCAAACTTGTCTGTGCGGCTCCCTGGTTTTGTATTTTTTTGAAAGAATGGCTCTTTCCTACGAAAAGGTTCCCGACCCCTGATGTAGGAGTTAAAGTGTAGATTAGTTAACTCCGAGTTTACGACTAATCCTGAGTTATCGTTATTTCAGATTCACCACCAGATCATTGGTGGAAGTTAATATAAATAACGTAAATATAATTAAATTCAGTGTTCACGTTCATAAATAGTGAACGATACGCGAACGTCACCCATTTTTTAAAAATAGAACGTAAACGTGAACGACTTTTATATTTTTAATGTATTTGAACGATTTTGAAGACGCTCGATTTATTTACTATTTAATAAATATAATATGTATATAATTTAGATACTTTAGAAAATGTATATGTACTAAAGTCTAAATTGTTTTTATTTTTGGGTTGAGACCTATATTATGTTTATAGGTTTTTATACAAACTGCTGGTAAACTATTAATTTATAAACAAAAAATTAGATGAACGTGAACGTAAACGAGTTCCTTTTTTAAGAACTGAACGTGAACGTGAACGAATTCATTTTTTTAATGAACGTTCCGAACGCTGATTAAATTCAGTAAATTGACCACCATCGTTGGCTGTCTATMCTAAAAAAAATTATCTTAACGTGGCCACACTGTTGGCGTTAGGTTGTCACTGTTTTGTTTTTTTATAATATTTTTTGAGGTTGGTTTTAAATGTTAAGGAATTTTGTTATTTATTTAAACTTTTTTACAATCCTTAAAACAACAAAATTTATCATTATTTCAAGTCTCGAACTGACTACGTTTTTTTACTTTGTGGTTTATTAGAATATCCACTATCCCATACCGGATGTATTATTTTTTTTTTATGTACTAACACTTAAGATCTTCACCAGGATCAAGCGTTTCTGATAAATTTAAAACTGTATGATGTTAAATACATAATAATCGCATCAGATCTTCAGGACTTCAAGTATATTTGTGTACAATTGTATGTTCCTCATGTCACCGAAATCTTTAGAACTGTGTGTAATTTACTTAATAATTATTGATCCCTATTAGTTGTAATAATGACATCGTCAGAAGATGTGCTCCTTCAAGTGGGGCCAGTACGGCATAAGAAGGGCGATGGGACATTATATGTAATGAGCCAACATGTTGCATTTATCCTCAATTCCAGCGATACTGTCGCTATTAGCCACCACTATAGAGATATTAAAATGCAAAAAATATCATCAGAATTCAAAAACAAAGTGCAATTACAGTTGGTTTTTCACGACGAAACAATTTCACTATTTCAATTTACTAACTCTGAGAGGTACAATTTTAAAATAATAAAATTTATTTTTATTAATTTTAATGTAATTTTTAGAAACTAAATAAAATATAAAAAAAGTATTATATACCTTATATGTTTGAGTTGAAAACAAAAATGTATACATATAACATGGTCTTAGTTCTAGTCTTAATTTTAAATGTATTATAATGATTAATGTTGATCTGAGACATTAATTATTAATTTTGTTTATTAGGAGTGAAGCCATGCGAGATAGAAATCGAGTTAAAGACTTAATACAACAATTACTGCCAAAATATCAAAAACAAGCAAACAAAGAATTTGGTGAAAAAAGCCGTATTCTTGGTGAAAATCGTATGCTGTTTCAATTATATCAAGATCTAGTTATTACCCATGTTATAACATCTGAAGAATTTTGGTCGCAACATGTGCCTTACCATTTAGCTACTCAATCCAAAGTAATTACTCAAAAAACTGGTGTACCTAATAATTTTCTTACCAATGTTACAGTCAAAAGTGATGGTACAAAAAAATTCAATTTATCTAATGATACCATACAATGTATCTTTAAAACTTATCCAGCAGTTCGGCAAAAACATATAGAGTATGTACCACATCAATTGACAGAATCAGAATTTTGGCAAAAGTTCCTAGAGTCACATTATTTTCATAAAGACCGTATTACTACAGGAAGTACCAAAGATTTATTTAATGACTGTGCTAAATTGGACGATAATTTATTCAAAAATGAAATTAAAGATTTATCTAAAAATAAAACAGATTGTTATGTTGGGTCAATCGAAGATGATGGGTCTGATGATAATATAAATTCTATATCTGAAGAAAAATCTTCCATGGCAAATATAGTACATGAAAATATAATTAAACGGTTTAATCAACATTCGATGATGGTTCTTAAAACATGTGAAAAATCTAATATAAATTCTTTACCTAATGGTAATGATTTGAAAGTGCCATCAAATTCATCTCTTATAAATGGCACACCAGATACTGCATTGAAGAGATTAAGAATTCAAGAAAAAAATGACTATGAAGATCTAAATCCAGAAGCAGAAACTTTGGATGTCAATCAAAAAAAATTGAAATTATCTAGGGTAGAGAGTTATGTTAATTGTTTAACAAGGGAACATAAACATGAAAATACTACATCCAAACTTTCTAAGGCAAGGGAAGTGCAGAAGAGTATTATTTTTGATGTTAATGAATGGAGCAAGACTACTTCAAATCAAGTTATTGAACCTAGTGTAGCTGTTAATACTCTTGGTTTACTTACACCAGGTGGAAGTTTAATGAAAGGAATCAGTGATGAATCTGCTTCATTAGCGCAGTTGGTACCAATTACAGTTGAAAAAGATTTGCGACAGTTATACATTTCTTTAGGAGAACTATTAAGACATTTTTGGTCATGTTTTCCAGTAACAACTCCTGCGTTAGAAGAAAAGCTAATGAAAACTCATGATTCTTTACAAAAATTTCAAAATGCCAAAATCAAGCCTTTTGAAGACCAAATCATTATTAATCATGGTCAATTAAATCAGCTCACAAATCATTTAAATTTAATGTTACATACTGCCTATAATAAATTTTCTGTTTGGCATTCTAGACGAAAAATACCTAATATTCTTTGACGAGTAATTCATTGTGTGCTTTTGTATTATATATTAAATGTGCAATGGAAACATTGTTGAAACATTAAATATATTTGAAAAAATGTTTTAAAATATAAATTGATAAAAATCGATAATGCCATTGCACAGATGAAAAATGTATGATCAATAGTCGTTAAGAATTTATTTTTCTAGATTTAAGATATTTTAGACACATTTGATATTAATATTCTGTGCTTGATACCCTAGTATTTAGGGGTGAAGGGATAGAAAAAAATAAGGGTAATTTAAATGAATATCAACTTATGTTTTTATTGAGTTAAATGAATACAAATATATAATTTCTTAACAGTGTCTAACACAATGTATAATGTATGAACAATAAATATAACATAATTTACAGTAGTTTAATTAAATTATTAAGAGATGTACTGATAACCTTATGTTTATTGTTCAATTTCCTACTGTCTAAGTTAAAAATTTTAATTATTTTATAATTGTATCTATTGTTATCCAAAATATTCCAATGTGAAGTTGGTTTTTCATTTATGCAGAATACATGTATTATTATTTTTGTTAATATTTTTTAAATAAGTAAAAAAAAACAATATTAATTATTACATTTTACTATCTTGCTATCCTCGAATTATTAACAAGTGATTTTTTGTTATCTAAAATCGCTTGTTTAATTGAAAACAATCATATTTAAATTTTTGAAAACTCATAGATATATATACTCATATATTTATATTTTTAAGTATTGACGTCTAAATCCATAATAACTTTTGAGGCAGAATATTTTTGGGAAACTTCCATGAAAACTAATCAAATTTTAAATGCGTAGTTCTTGAGTTTAAAGTATTTAAATTTTAAAGTAATGCTTTGAAAAATAAAATTAAGTGTATATAAAATTAGAAAATTATATCAATAAACATGTATTATTTTGTTTTAGTTGCTTAAGATTAGGAATCTTATAGACTTATTT